GAGAGAGAGAGAGAGAGAGAGAGAGAGAGAGAGAGAGAGAGAGAGAGAGAGAGAGAGAGAGAGATTATATGTAGATACGTACCCCCGTGGCAAAAGCGATACATGCAAAACAGTGTGAACGTCTTTCTCTTCATCTCCATCTGCCCCCGTGGCAAAATTGATACATGCAAAAAAATACGAACGTCTTTCTCTTCATCTCTCTCACTCTCTCTCTCTCTCTCTATATATATATATACATATATATATATATATACATAACGACGGACAATGGCATCCATGTAGTACGTGACACGATCACTCCTGCGCAACGGACACCTCCTGCGAAAGCACGACACCGTCAAAGTCGAGGCGGTGAGCGGCACCATCGTTGTCGGAGTCGGAAGACGATTTTTCGTCATCTGAAGCAGTTTCGCTTCCCGGCTCTACGGAAACATTGTCAGCTTCGTCCACAACACCCTCCACCGCACTATCAACGACATCAGGGAGTCCATAATCAGCTTCCTCATCATAATGCTCAATAACTGGGTCGTCGACATCCGATTGCTGCAACATGTTACGTGCCCCGTCTCCAACACGAGGGCTGCCGAAAACTTCTGTTGCAATGTCGAAGCGCCACGAGGTATCCCGGGCAGCGTATATATGCTGTCGTGCGGAGCGACGTCGATGGGTTACGTTTATCGGTTTGCGGAATACTGTGCGCAATCGCTTGATTCGTTTGTTTTTGTTCCACTCCAAAGCGGTGCAACACACACGCGCCTCATATGACTTGGGGAAGTTCAGGCGTTTCGTGCAGTACTTGTTGATCATAGAGTGGAAGCACTCGTTGTTGAAGGTCATCCTCGCACGTGTGTAGTACGCCATCTTCGTATTGGAAGCGAACTGTTCAAGACACCGCGCGATGGCCAAATGAACACGTCCCCCCGCCTCGTACAATGACTCTCTGTCCGGACCACCGGCCGCTTTGCACAGGTTGGACAACTCATTATCGCAACGGGAATGATCCCCGACCCAGTGATTGGCGAGGTGTTGCATATGAGTGGCCAACACATCGCCATCGTCATCCCTTGCGCGCTCGCGCAACCTGCAAGCGCCGTACAACCACTCCTTCGCCTCCTCCGCCGCATTGCAATGCAGTGTTTGCAACGCGTCGATCTCGACGACATCATCTGGCAACGCCTTCCCTGCTTCGTTGGGGAAGAGCACACCCCAAACAATCTCAACGAGTTTATCCTTTTTTTTCATGGACACCCCGGCCACGCACACCCTTTTCGTTTCGAGCCAAAGTTCGAGCTCGCTCTTTGTGAAACACTTCACCTCGCGCACATGCTCGCAAGCCCTGACCACAGCTGGTTTGACAGTCTTCGTGCCGTGTTCATCCTCTCGCAAGCGTTTGACCAAAGTCTTCGCCTTATGCCACATACACTTTTGCCAGTCAATGTTCATTCGCCGTAATATGATGTCAACCGCGCCACAATCATCATGCACAACCTTTGCGATGATGAGGTTCTTCTCGTCCTTCAACCGATGAAGCAGTTTCTCCACACACTGTGTTTCCAACTTCCAAGACGGCTCACTCCTCCAGAGCATGGTCTCCGTCCCCACGATCATTGCTGACTTCAAATCCACCGCCGTCACCGTACAATGCTGAGCGTCACGAGACGAATCGTAACGGCCGTCCACCAAAACGATGATTGGATCGTTCGAGCTGCGCAATCGGGCGATGACCTTGTCGAAGCTCTTTTGAGTAACACGTTCGACGTGTCGCAGCCACTGTCGGGAACCTGGGCCGTCCTCACGGAAGAAATTATAGAAAGTTTCTTTCCTTACCTTCCTCATCCCTAAGCCCAGCAGTAGATTATTCAATTGAGTGTAAGTCATTCCCGCAGTCAAAGTGGAGTGTAACAATTGAGTCTCCACCCTCGAATTTCTCACCCCACCAGTGAAACAACCTTCGCGGAACTTCAGTGCCAAGTACACCCTTTCCCACACTCGAATTGCAACTTGCAAATGTGACATGGATAATGTATCTTCGTGATGGTCACCTCCACGTCTTTCCCGTGCCGAGGACACGTTTGCTCAAATATCCCGAGAATCTGTAAAAGCTTCACAGGCTCAATGAAAACGATATCAGGTCTGGCTTTAGCATCCCACATGGCCATTTGGTCCCTCACGGTCAACCTTTCAAACATCGGACCATTATCCGAATATCCCGGCTTACCGTGGCGCCATTTCAAAGCGTCACTGCGAGGTCTACCACCTCTCGACTTCGGTGTCGCCGTTGAGTCCGATCCTTGTTCGCATGAACCCCCATGGGCTGACGATTGCTCGCCCGGGCCTTACTTTGACATCAGTTCATCGAAGTGAACGGAACTCCACTCCAGGAGCTGGTCGAACACGTCCTCGTACGAACAATGATTTTCCTTCTTATCTTTCGACCCGCGAGCGCGAGTCAACAACTTCTTCCCCATCGCCTTTGCAATCTCACCCAGTTGATTTTGCTGATCGGGTCTGCATCACACCCAGCGAGTCTTGCCTTCACGAGGTGTACTGGACCTCGTACGGGGCGACCGAGGCGAGAAACTCATCCCAGCCTCGCAATCATTAGACGGCGAAAGAACATCGCGTGCACGGTTCGTGAAAACCGGAGTGCAAGATGTCGGCAACACTTCTTCATCCGACGATCCTGTCTCTTCTGTCAGATGAACGGGATCCGACGCAAAGACACCCGCAACAGGAACTGCGCCGGTGTTCTGATGTTGCAAAAACGGGAATGAGCGCGGCAAAGCAAATGGATGCGCGACGTCCGAACGAGAGGCAGGGACACCGCACATGGTCTGACTTGCGGACCAAGGCGTCGGTAACATCGCTGCGAGAGAGCCCATGGGCGAAGAAAATGGAGGACGAGAAGAAACCACAGCGGATTGTGCAAAAAGGGACGTTGCGAGATAGCCAACGAAAGTGGGTAGAGCTGGGATTGCGGCAATGAGTGCTCGCATGTGACTCAGGAGAGGACTTTGTGTGGCAGTTGTAGAATTCAGCAGAGGAGGGAACGGCAAGACCGCTATTCTGTCATCCAAACGCTGCCTGGTTGCAGGTCTCTCCAATACGAGTCCGTCGGATCGAGTACGTCCGCGTGGATCCAAAATCCCTCTCCCTCGACCGCGTGAAATATCATGGTACACCGGAGAGCCTTACAAAGAAGAGAGAGCGCGTGAAGCGGATGGAGATGAAGAGAGAGGAGTAGGAAGCAACGGGGATTTCGGCGACCGCGGCAAAGCCGCAGGATGTTGTTGGCGGTCCATGTTGATGCCCCGGCTCTATGGATGGGGAAGGCCGCACGCACCTGCACACGCGAAAGCGCAGCTCCAAAGATCACGACCTACGTCCCAACACAGTCTCTCTCTCTCTCTCTATATATATATACATATATATCTATTTGACGATATATATATATGTATATATATGTATTTACAGGGTCACCAGCCCGTACGTACGGAGGTCCCCGGGCAGACCTCCGTACGTACCGGCGTTCGGGGTCCCGTACGGGGTCCGAACCCGACGGTGTTCGGCCCCCGCCAAAAATTCTTTCGGGGCCTAAAAATAAGTATGTTTTTTGTTTTTGGTTTTGTGAGTTCTCTATGACGTGAGGTACATGCCTGTAAATTTTCAAGTCATTTGGCTTAGCCAAATAAGAATTAAAAATCGCCAAAGATGGTGGTGTCAAAACGTGCTCGCCCAAGTATTTTTTCACTTTTTACTTTTTGTTTTCACTTTAGTTCGGGGTCTAAACAATTTTATTATTTTTTGAAACTTTTTGAGTGGGTTTTGTATTATGTGAAGTACACATCTGTAAATTTTCAGGGCATTGAGCTATGCCAAAAAAAAATGAAAAATCGCCAAAGATGGCGGTGTCGAAAACATGCTCGCGCACTCACTAAATTTAATTCTCTTTTTATTTTT